GACTCTCCCTATAATGTGGCTTCCTTAAGGGTGTCATGAATAACACTAGAGGGAAAGGCGCAAGGGCCTCCCTTAAGTGGAGTCTCTTTGCAGACCGGAACTTTCGTCTCTAGGTCATGAAAGGTCTCATCATGAGATTTTGGTTAAGGGTTGTACAAAGAGCCATATGTGTCATCCCAAAGTTTTACTTCCCAAAAGGATGTCGCTTGAGAGGTATTCCTTTTGCGGAGTTCCACCGAATCTAGGCAAAGTTGTCACATAAACTCATATGGATGATGTATCCCCTTGGCTAATAGACAAACCTTTTTTCTAAGGGTTTTTGAAAATAATTTTTGCAATAGTAAAATCCCACCACAGATGAATAAATATAATGAATAATAATAATAAAATCAAATAAATACATGATTAAATGAACAAGAAATAAAAACTCAATAAACAAGAAAAACCCTAAAAACTCTAAAGCCAAAAGAGGAGGCTTCTAAACTTAGGATTGAGTCCCTAGAAAAGTCGCCAGCTGTTGTAACTGGTTTTAAAATAAGAGTCGCCACCTTTAATTTTTATCCTAAGGAAGGGAATATAAAGGTTAACCCTAAAAAGTCAGATATTCTAGATTGTTGGACTCATTTTTAGATGAAGGGAAAGTGTTAGGCACCCCTCATCTACCTTGTTCACAAGGATACTAGGGTTAGAAGCGTAATTTTTAGGAAATAAGGTTTTATTTTTATTAGGGGAACTCGCCACGATTTTAATCGTATGCATACGTATCCTCTTAGGAGGAATCAAAGTCTCATTTCGTAGTTCGCAGTTGGTTTGTATTTCATATGGGTTAAGAATTATATTTAAGTTTCTCGCATACTTAGTCTAGGTGTACGGATAAAGAAGATATTTAGAAGGAGTACACAGTCGATTCAAATATATTTGTGACCCATTTTTGAAGAATAATTGTTGGATAAATTTGATTTACGAAAATAATGTATCGTTGGTTAAGTATTTTTTTAGTATTTAAAAAATCTTATTTAAAAAATACATGATTAAAAGATGATAATTTAATGCAATAAATAGAAAATATTTTAATGAGTTGGAAAATAATATTTATGTGATATAATAATAATAATAATAATAAATATGATATTAAATATATTAAATATAATAAAATATAAAAATAAAAAATAAAAAAAACAAATAAAATGTAGGGAGTATGTTTTATGTTAAGGCGGCAAAATAGGTGGGTGTAAATAGCATGGGCCAAAATCCAGATATTGGATTTGGCCCAGCAGTGCAGGGGGTATGTTTTAGCGTGTGTTAGAAAAAATAAAAACAGAGGGGTGTGTGGGTATCAATGAGCCAGGCCCAAAGAGAGTTGAGAGAGTCCGTGTGGACTTCGTGTGCATGGTCGCACGGTCGTACGATGGGCATGCGTCATATGGGATGCATGATCGAGATCTTCTGGCTATGATTGAAAGCGCACGGTAGCAATTATGTGGTGACACGCGCATGATTATTAAACATAATATATTGCATTTACAAAACAAAACATATCAGTTTTGTTATCTCTTTTCTCTCTCAACTTCGTCTCTTCTCTCATCTCTCTCCATACAACAACATACCATAACTTCCTCCAACAGCGGCAACACTATGTCTCCTTCTCTTATCCCATCCACGACCCAACCAGAATAATAACCCCCTAATGCAAACAAAAGCTAAGCGTTTGTAAAGATTACCTTTAACGTCTCAGCTCTTTTGCGTTTGTCTAATCTCCCCCTGATTCTCCTCTTTTCCTTTTTGTTTTCACAGGTGACGGCGGTGATGGGATCAACGGAGGAGATAGATGGTGTTGAGGATGAAGGTAGCAGCGCAATGGAGAGGGAGAGAGGTCTTACAGTTTCAGATACTAAAACCCTAGATGCGGCTCAGTGGTGATTCTTCCCTTACTCCTTCTTCAACAAGAAGATCCTTCCTTCTTTTTCGTAGATTCCTCCTCTGTTATCCCTCTCTGTAAATAATTTTTGTTTCTCTGTAATCACTTCCCCCCTGTATTGTTCTTTGTCCTAAGGTTTTATAGTATTAGGATTAGGCATTTTAGGAAGGTTCTTTTATCTTTACAGATTAAAGAGTTCGTAATTTAGGAAACATTTTGATTTTGTTTGTAATAAGTTTTTATTAGAAATGACTCGCTTTTGTTTTCGTTTGGACTGTATTAAGTAATTTGTTATGTTTCTGGACAATCAATGTAAAGAATTACTTTTGTTAGTAACTCTGTTTTTGTATTTGATTCTTGCATCTATATTAATTCGTCCTGTAAGAGAAAAATGGAAAGTAAAGATCATGGTTTGATGGAAACAGTAATGTTAACCTTAAGCACGTGCTATTACTCTTGATTCGTACAATACCTGTTTGTTAGGTCTTTTGGGCCCTGCACGTTTTTTGTTATATGAACCCAAAAACATTTTTATCGCAATGGGCCTGTGATGTTTGGGCTGTACAATATCTCTTATTTTGGACTTGTTTTTTATGGAAAAGATTGGGCCGTGTTAGAAAGAAAAAGAAGCCTCTTCATTATTATCTTTCTTTTAATAAAAAAAGATTAAGTTTAAAGTATAGTATTATAATAATAATAAGGATCGGTATTATAATAAGATAATAATAATAATAATAATAATAATAATAATAATAATAATAATAATAATAATAATAATAATAATAATAATAATAATAATAATAATAATAATAATAATAATAATAATAATAATAATAATAATAATAATAATAATAATTAAGACAAAACCATTTTTTGAAAGATAAATCAAAAAGTTGCACATACCGTCTCTTTTCACCATTGGGCCTTAACAAAAAGAAATTGTCCACACCTTCCATTTTAACTTGCAATGGATCCTTTTTTAAAAACCCTAATGGAACATCAAATATTGATGGTCCATTTTAAATCAACACACCCCTTTTCCATGTTTTACTCTCCTATAGAAATAAAAACTATATAATACGATCTATTTAAAAAGAATCTTAAATAAAATATAAGGGTAGGATAAATTTGGGGTAAGACACATGATGGCTAATACAAATCCCCATAAAGACTGTATGAACACTTAGTCAAAGTTGGTACTAAAAATGTTGAGCGTGTAGTCGAAGAGATACACAGTTAGCAAGGGTAGTTTTCTATGAGCAGTTGTCAAATACATGGGGAAAGTTGTCAAAAGCAGTTCGACATGAAACGAATACGTGGCAAGCTATGTATAGTCGAGTGTTAAATAGCAGTTATCTATATTTGTCTATTTAAGCGTAATTTACATTCAGTTTTAGGGGTCACATTTACAATATTGTAAGAAGAATACTCAAAGTACCAATGTCTGAGAGAAAGAAGTGACTTCCAAAAAAATGTATGCATGCGTCCCATTTTAAGTTCAAAGCAATTTATATTTCAAGTTCAACATTACTTTTCCTTTCTCAAATTGTATTTAGTTTGATTTGTTTTGTTCTACACATTCTTAGCTTTTATTCATTCTTATTCAATTCAAACACAACCATTCGAAAACTTAGCACTTTGTTCTAGGATTTTATAGCTGATCCTGCAAGTAAACTTTAATTAAGAGGCTAAAGATTGTTTTCCAGAAACCTGTGCAAACAAATTGGCACACCCGATGGGACACATTGTGTTAAGTTTATATATTTTCATTGTTTTTTCATGTTCTTCATATACAATTTCTCAACACTGTGTATGAAATTGAGGAGTGGTAGGAAAATGATAGATCATAAAAACACGAATCTGAATGGGGAACAACCCCAATCAGAGGTACACGTTCGACCAGAAGAAGTAGTCGAAGAGACGATCGGCCCAAAACACGAAATTCCTTATGGGGTTGAAGAGATCCCTAGGAGGGTCGAACACCCTCCTATTGTTATGGTCAATAAAAACCAGAATACCGACCACATGGTTAGGCTAGTTCGACAAGATGCATTAGCTGGAGAACATAATATAGAGGCTATTGTCGAACACATTATGGTACAAAATGACATGAACACTGGCCTTCAAAGGCCTACTTATTCTTCTCCAATGCCATAATTTGTTTTATAGAAGAAACTACATAGGGGATAGAAAGTCCCAAAGTTTACTAAGTTCGCTGGCGACACCAATGAGTCCATAGTCGAGCATGTCACTAGGTATCAAACCGAAACTGGTGATATAACAAACAATAAGGATTTGAAAATGAAATATTTCCCAAGTTCCCTCACAAAAAAATGTGTTCACTTGGTTCACAACGCTAACTTCACACTCTGACCACACGTGGACTCAGATGGAAAGATTGTTCCACAAACAGTTCTACATGAGACAGTAAAAAATTAGTTTGAAGGAATTGGCCAGCGTCAAACGAAAAGTTGCTGAGTCAATTGATGAGTATCTTAATAGGTTTAGACTCTTGAAAGCAAGGTGTTTTGTCCAAGCCCCTGAACATGAGTTAGTCGAAATGGCTACGGAGGCTTAGATTATTCTATTAGAAATAAGTTAGATACTCAAAGTGTCATTTTCAGGGATTTAGTGCAAAAAAACTTGTTTATTAATTAAAATTTATCATTAATATAATGAGTAAATGAATCTCACATATAAAATATAAAATAAAGGTCTAAAACTTTATGATTTCTTATGAATAAAGGTCTAGAGAATTTATCTATTTAAGTAGATATAATATAAATGTATATAATTTAATCTCACATATTATTCTTTAAAAAGTATTTTAATTTGTTTCTAATATATTGTCTTTCACATTAAAAATTTAATAATATAAATGTATAATTGCAAACATAATCTAATCTCTAAAAATCTACAAAATAATCTCAAATAACCCCCACAATTGTAACACATCATAGATATAGACAAAAGTACCTTATACAAAGAACAAATAAAGCAATTTGCTACAAACCAAAGTTCTAACTATAGCAGTATCTATAGCAACAAAACAAAACACTGCTATTCAATGAAATTATACAACTTACAAGTTTTGAATAATATCCACAAGAGATCTATATGTACCAAAAACAGCAATAGCAACTCCCATAACAATTATGGAATAATTAATAACCATTCCACTCCCAAATCTCTTGTAAGCTCCTGAAATCTTCAAGTAACATATGGATGGCACTAAAATTGAAGCTGAGACACTTAACAATGCTCCAACAAGTGACATAAGGTATCCAAATAAAGGAATTGTCACTGCTATACCAAGAGAACCTACTAGTAAAGATGTACTAATAATCATATGTGTGACCCTTTTGTTGCATGAAACCTTTGCTTTTATTGCATTTATCACTGGTGTAAGCATTAATGCATATTTTGCTATTGGATTTACTAAGGTTGTGTATATTGCTACTCTTGAACTTAACTTTCCTGTTTGGAGATTTAGAGTTACTTGTGATTCGACTTCTTGTCCGAACATTAAGTAGCCGAGAATCGCTGCCGCTGCATAACCAAACGTGCATGCTGAAAAGCTTATAATTAGGACCTGACAAAAAGAGAAGAATTTAGACAAATGTATTTAGTGAATTTACAACTCAAAATCATGTTTAAGTTAATTGACTGCTTATTTCATAAGTTCTTGTGGTATAAGTGCTTATAGTATAAGTGCTGATGTATAAGTTATTTCTGTGTCAAAAGTTAAAACAAGTCAAACGACTTTTGTATATGTCATAAAATATTACATAAACCGTTCTAGAAAGCTTTTGAAAATAAATTGAAAACAATTTACAGATATGTCATAAGTTGTTCTATGTAGTAGTCTCTGCAATTGATTCATCCGACAATTTAGTTTATTTTTCTTCAAGTATTTTCATTAAAATACAAAATTTAACGGGTAAGTCTGCCCCGTTTAGACCCATTCCACAAAATTGGACCGGGGCAGGGCAGACATTATTGAGGGTGCAGACCCCGTGAAAAAATGAGAGCGTAGCTGGACGGATCACGGGCACAGAACTTTTTAAGCCTAAAAATTATAAAATTTATGTTAATCTCCGTGCCCGAAAAATCAGGACGGCCATATTAGAGAGTGCATACTTTAAATCTTGTTTGCCTCGCAAAAAAGTACACTCAAAACAGACATGTCTGACGGGCCTAGCCCATTTTTTCACTCCTACCTATCAATCAAAACTCGTGCTGCAATGGTCGTAATGTCAATTACAACAAAAACAATCGCAACATCCACAACTACAATCGCATTTTTGACCACAACCAAAATTTAAAACCAAGATTTCTATAAGTTCACTCAAATAGTTCCTAAACTAAAGCATATTGAAATTACTAAAACAGCTTAATACTTACCCGAGAGAAATGAGTTTTGTTCTTCATAGAATTGTAGAGAGTAGGAAGCACAGGATGAGCACTATAACAAAAAGCATACAAACTAACAGCAGAAGGAATTCCACTCCAATTGAAAACCCTTCCTTTTCCATGAAACCCAGTTCCATCAATTGCACCATTCCACAACAACGAAACAATGAAAACCGAAGAAGCCAAAGCACCACCAGCAGAAACATAAGACAACAAACTTATATCCTCAAGCAAAACAGTAGGCAAAATAACAAGACAAGTAACCATAGTAAACAATGATGTCCCACCAATGGTTAACTGTCCCATGTGAATTTCTACATTTGGAACCAGTTTGTTAAGATTGTCCCCTTCTAAAATAAGAAAACCTGTCACAGCTAAGTAGAGCTCAGAATTCATGATTATCGATACCATTAATCTTCCTTTCGATCCGAATGCATGTTCACCTATGTCTGGAAAGGTTCTGATATTAGGATCCATGTCCATGCATTTTTTAACCAATGTGCCTGTGTAACAACATGCTAGGGCTATTGTTAATAAAAGAAATATGCTTAACCATCCTCCTGATGCTAGGGCATATGGTATTGAAACAATGCCAACTCCTGAAATAATAATATCAAAATATACAAGTTAATATCTCAATAAATTTAAGAAAATTGTTAATAGTTAATTGCAATCTCACTGCAAAAGATGCAAAAGATGTCAATATGTGAAACAAAATATTATATCATTATCTGGACAGCCTTGAAAGCAATATCTCATTGTCTATAGTTATCATTGGATACAGTGGAATATTAGTCACAGAAAATTGCATGTGAGTGTAGACAAAAATGATAACAAGAATAGGAATCTTATAGAATAAAATATTCAGAAAGTTTGTAGAGAAAAATAATTTAAAATAATTAAACTTTAAATTGGTTCATAATTAATGTTATTTGTTTGGTTGAATTTTGTTAATTATATCTTTTGTTTGATTTGTTTTATGTCCCATCTTTTTTTCAATAATTTCTTTCTTTTTATAAGGTATATTTAATATATTTAAGTATTAGCCAATATGGAAGAAACAAATCTAAGTATACTAAATAACCGCAAAGTAAGATTGTAGATAATAAAATTGCTACTCACTACTACAGTAAAGTGTAATGTATAAACAAAAGGACCCATTTTTTAATAAAACACATATGCATATAAACAATTCATGTGTAGTCATGGGGACATTGAGAACCATCTGTGTAAAAGACTAATTTTATTTAAACATCAAAATTATAAATTTATTAGTATACTCCTTCAATTCTTAATATTTAAGAAAAAATATATAAGAGAAAAAAAATAAAGATTACACATATTAAAAAAATCAAAACATATTTACTTGGATTAAAATTTTTTATATTTTTCATTAGAAAAGTTTTATAAAAGGATTTATAAAACAATTTAAATTTTTTTTGAGAATAGAATAGTTTATTCAAAATCAATTTAAATTAATTATTAATTATAGAAAAAAAGAAATATTAAATTTAATAATGTTTACAATTTATGTTACTTAAAAATAAAAGTTACTTTTTTATAATTTCAGAAGAAGGTGCATTTTTTAAAATTTTGAAATAGAGAGAGTATAATTTATTTGATTTTAGTAGAAACTTAAACTAAATATATTTGTTAATAAATTTTATATTTCCTTTTTTACTTCTAGCCACAAAAATTATTATAAATAAAAATTAAATGTATTTAGTTCAAATTTAAACTATATACATTTGTTAATAAAATTCTTTTTTTTTTCTTTCTCACTTACACTCACATTTAATATACATTTTCAATAATTTTTTATCTCTAGCTACCAACAACAAATGCAGAATCTCCAATATTTAAACATGTTAAATAAAAATTGTAAAATTGAACAAAATTAAAAGATAAAATCTTTTGACTAAAGGAAATAGATCTACATTGATAAAATTATCGGTATAATTTTCTATTAAGGATTATGTTAATATTGAGAATTTAATTAACAACTTTTGTTTAGAAAAATATGAAGAAAAAAAAAATAATTGAAAAGAGAGTAAAAAATTGAACCTGAGATAGCATTGAGTAGATGGAAGCATGTCTTGAATAAAGAAGCGTTACCAACATGATGAAGTGTGAGGTGTTGTTGATCCTTAGTAGTAGTATTTGAATCATTCAGTTTTCATCATTCAAAAGTGGTGCTTCAATGGAGGAATATCTATCACCTTGCTCTCCAGCCATATGCTACTGTTACTCTAGAAAAAGGTGAATGAATGTGTCTCGTGATGTTTGCTGGATATATGCACTTTTCCTATTTTTATAGTGAGTGCGTGCATACACGTGTGTAGTCTCTATCTTTTTACACTTAATAATACTAATATGTGTATTATAATCTATATATAGTAGATGATGATAAACAGACATTAATTTAATGATTACATTAACACTTTTTATAAGACGAATAGGGTATTAAACTATGTATTATAAATTTTTTTATCAAGTCACCAATAAATCAATTAACAATTAATTTATACATTTTTAGCATAATTAAAATGATTTATAATATCAAATTAATCTTAAAATAAACACTCTAATATTAATATAGAGATATAATTTATTTATAATAATTAATAAAATTAAAATTAATGTTATAAGTGTTCATAATTATGGATGTCTATCGATTAAAAGATTTTTTATTGATCTTCTATTTATTATATATCTTCTATAAATAGAACCATATTATACCATCGTTCACTCAGAGTGAGAACAATATAATAAATTTTTTTCTTTTTTTTCCTCACATTCGTTTCTACTATTCTGAGAACAATATAATAAACTTTTTTCTTTTTTTTCCCTCACATTCGTCTCTACTATTCTATTATATTGATTCTTATTAATTTCGTTATACGTTATCAGTATGAAACTCTATCAAACCTTAAAAGGACAAAAATTGAAACTCTAACTATTAGATGTGATATTAGTTTATTATTTTATTCTTTTTCTTTTTCATTACCTGTGTTGAATTTTGATATTATATATTATTAAATTATCAATAATTTCCGAAGGATTACAAAATAATGAACTTGTTATATAGTTCTTAGAGAAATTTTAATCATCCCTGAAAGATAGCAAATTAACGAGTTCGTTATATAGTTCTTGAAGAATTTATTATTGGAGCACAAGGCTGAAGATGAAGATGAAAGAAGAGAGAGAAAGAGAGGAAGAGAGAGAGAATGGTTACAATAAACAATTTGGAGAGAGAAACTCTATTTGAAATAACAAGATTTGATATCTAGTCTTTAGTTTTGATGACAACAGTACATTGTTTGTTAAAGAACAATTTTGTACCCTAACAGTGTAATTAATTTATTTAATAATAAGTAAAATAATTAATAAAATAATAATAATAACATACGTAAAAGACATGTGGAACTTTTGATCTATTAGGTTTCCTCTTTACAAGAGGCAACGTCTATAAGCCATTGATTTGTTTGAAAATTCTATCAAACAACGTTACATGAACAAATTAGAAACGATGCGGAAGAGGGGGGGGGGGGGGGGGGGGGGGGGAGGGGATTTGGAAGAGATGAATGAATAGAGGAAACCCTGGATGGTTTTCTCGGTGTTTCTGGTGGCTGACGACCAACTCGCTTGCTTTTTCTGGCGAGATTTTGATTTTTACAGCTGATGATATGAGTTCAGTATGATGCCAATGTTTTAGGATTTTAACAATTAATTACGACAAGTCTTTTTACACTCAATTCTAGTTCTAGTTTTTAACTCTCGTCTCTTATTTATTAATCAAGTAAAAAATTAGAAGCTTGATGCAGGTTTGATATTTTTATACCAAAGGAGACTAATTACTAATTAGGTGTTTGAGGATCACCGTTGAAAAAGAATTATTTTGTTTTGTTTTCATTGCAACAGGCAAAACTGTTGTATTCACTCAGTCAAAACATCTTTAGCCGTTGAATCTTGATTGTGCAATTTTATAAAATAGACTTATTTTTATGTTATAATTTTTAAAATGTCTATTTTAAATCAGAACTATTTGATTTTAATCGAACAACTACTAACGCTTGAATATGTGAATGCAGGGGTTATGACTGCTATAGTGAATCTCAATCGGTAAAAACATTGAAGGTTATCATGCCACCTATTATGCCTCAATAGTAGGCGTGTTCGTGGTGCGATTTAGACAATTTTAACGCTAAAAGTCGTATGAACACCAAGAGAAAAAATGTGATATAGTTTGGTTTGATTGACTTTTAGAAATCAAATCAAGTCAAACCAATGTGATTTAGATTTGTTTGTTGGTTCGGTTTTTACAAGATTTTATCATACATACACATATATAGAGGACAACATAATTTTATATTTAGTCATTCATATACTACTATGAAATAAGTTTATAATTGCCAAAATAAGTTTACAATTTTATCTTATGTCTAAAGAACAATATACATGAAATTATTTTTAAGTAAATTTAAAATATTATTTTGTGTAGTTATAAGCAAGTGCTTGCATTTGACTATGCTAATCCGATAACACTATAATTTTTTTTTTGTTATCCTTTTGGATCGGCCAAAAGTCCAAATTGTTAAGGCTTAAACCAACTTAATGGGGAGGCAATGATGTAGAATCATCAGATGATGAAGAAGAAAAAGTGAACATCTGTCCAAAACCGTCTCAACCAATATTTAAATCAAAAGCGAACTCTAAGAATTGAATCTTTAGAAAATTATCTTTTTAGATAAATAATTTAAATAAAAATTGTTTTTTTATAGCTTTTTGATATTGAGGAGGATAACATGTTTATTATAGGTAATGCTAAAAAAAAACAATAATAAGCCTTATTATGAAAGTAACTTATCATTGAAATTATATCTTTTTTTATTTAAAATATAGTATTTAATCAAAAATATAAAATATATAAACTAATTAAAATTACAAATAAAGAGAGTGGAATATTAATCTTGGATAAATAAAATACTCTATTGTTCCAAAATAATTGTCATGTTCGGCAAAATTATTTGTCTCAAAATACTTTTCACTTTTAATTTTCAATGCAATCTTTATTTGTTTTGGATTTAACCAATGAGTTCTGATCCACATGATAAACCGACTCATTTAGTTTCGTGATTCAGAGGGGCAGCTCACTGACCAAGTCTTATTTTCACCAAAAATGCAATCTTATTTTTAATCTTTCAATTATACACTTTAACTAATATTTATAATTTGTTACTTTCTCACTTAACATTAATATTAATTAAAATACACAATAATTAATAATGATAATGGTTAAAGTTACTTTTCTCTCTTATATTTATTATATTTTCATAATCTTTGTGTAAGTGTCAACTATGACACTTGTTTTAGGATGGAGGGAGCAGTATTTATTACACTATTGTTAAAAT